TTTTTTTCCCGGATTGTTTTAGAAAAAATTAAATTTGGAAAAATGCAAAAAAATTTGTTCATACATAAACATGTATAATTTTACATACAATATATATGAGTAATTCTTTTACATTTCTCCAAACTTGGTGTCCCAGAATGATTGTCAAATATTTTGTGCGTAGGTAGATCGGATTAAACTGAGTCGAAAAGTTCTCTTAAACCATTTTGCAATTTTTGCAATAGTTAATAAGACTGAAGATATTAATAACTAAAAATCACCGAATATTTATCTTTATTCATTTTTTTCTCCAGTACTATCAATTTTTAGTACAGCATTTTCTCATATTGGTAAAAATAGTTGGCAATAAAAAAAATACAGTACTAAATGTAAATAAAAAATTCTAAAAAAAGAATTCTTTAAGAAGAAAATAAACAATTTTTGTCTCTTGCTGTTTTTTTTTTGTAAAGTTGAGTAAAAAAATATTGAAAACCAATATTCAATGATTTTTAGTATATCTTGTTATAACTATTACGAAAATTGAAAAATGATAGAGGATTTTTCAATTCAGCTTAGTCCGCTCTATCTATATTGAACATATATAGGGAATAATCATAATCATAAACATATTTCATGATTAATGATCATAAATAAAAATTTATTCATCATTTGATTATTTCTGAATAATGAATGAAAATTTATTAGTTATTTGACACTTATGAATACTGGATAAAAATTTATTCATCATTAGCCTGGCCATTAGACTGGCCATAGGCCAGTCATTAATATTGAAATATAGAATAAATACAAATTTATTAGTTTATTTATTTTATTCGACTATTTTTGAATAATGAATCAATATAAAACTTATACTATATTACTACAAAACGTTATAACTTTTAAAGAAAAATTAATAACGTTACAAGGGAATTTTATATACCTAACTAATTTAAATATTTATAATGACTTTTATGATTTTTATGAATTTGCATTGTGAACATAATTTAAGTGAAAAGATGCTCATTATAGCAAATACGAAAGCGCTGTTGTAAAATTAGCTTGACTTATTTGCTGTGTATTATTAAATATTTATAATTGTGTCGATTTATTTGCATTTTCATTCATGTCACAATGTATGTCGCCACTCACATTTTTTTACGCATTTCTTTTCGCTTATACGTCAAATTCCGCAGACGGAATTAAATTTCATAAGCATATGACGAGATTTAGAGCACTCGTTATTACACGAAGAAAAATTTACAAATCAATATAAAATTTTTTTATCCATATTGTATGTTAAAAAATATAATCTTTTAATTCATTTATCTGTTCTTAATTTTTTGTTATATTTACAATAACCTGGGAAAAAATGTTTCATATA